AAATGAATAATGACTTGATAAGAGAGTAGAGCGATTTTTTTTTTTTCTTTTTCTTTTTTTTTCACTCACTCTCTTACTATAGGAATCCGATTTTTTTCATATCTCGTTTAATGTTATTTTTTTAAACCGTTAAAGCAAGAATTCTGATCATCTAATTTGATCAATCTCTTTTTCGGAAAAGCCATGCATTGAAAATCTATACTTAAAATGTTTTTTCATCAATTTTTGTGAATTATCCTAAATATTCCAATACTAAATTACTGCGATTTTTAGCGGGATTGAATTTCTCTTCTAGTATATTTCTGGGAATGTTTCAATTTTCGTGTATTTTCCATCAAATATTATTATATTTCGATTTTTTAAACCTATAGACCTGATTTGAAAGAAATCGATTTAGCAAAATGTTTTTATTACATATAATGCAATACTTTTCCCAAAAATTTCTATGCTTCGAATCTCATTTACCATAGTATCCTTCGATATCATATGATTACGACCAATTAAACATACATACGATTTTTTTTTTTTTTTTTATTTCATCTTTTTTTATTTTGTATCTCGTTCAAACATTTGTATGTATAGTTTTTAACGTTAACCAAGACTTTTCGGCAAGATTCATGAATTTAGTAATAAGCATGTGGACGAGAGATTGTCGTAATGTAAAAATTTTTTTTGGTACCTAAGTAATAACTTGCCTGATAAAGGGAAAAAAAACATTAAATTCGTATGGATAATAATAATTTTTGTAAAGAAAAGAAATGTTTTTAATAAACGAATAAAGATTAATATTTACGAATAATTTTAAACTTCACAAGCTCCAAGCATTTTCCGTAGCAATTCTTCTCCAAGCCAACTTTACAGCATTTTCGTATCCATTCCTCTTAGCTTCACATTTATCCCTAATCGGGTTTTCAACTTTAAACATTCGATGACATTCATTATGTTGGAATTTTAAAAAATTAAAATGGTTATGAGTATTAAAGAAAGGAAGGTAAATATGTTTATAAATAATTTCCCTTTAATACATAACATATCATACAGTATTAATCCAACTATAAGTCTTACAATTATAGTATTCTATTGTTATGTTAAATATTCAAAAGATAAAAATCATGATCTAGTTTTTTTTAATAATAATTATTTATCTAAAGAGCAATGATACAGACATTTTGTTAACATTCTTCACACCATTTTTATTCTTCTTCCGGAATGATTGAATTATTAACGAATTTAATGTGATTCAATTATAAAGTATTTCGTACACTGTTAATTATATAATAGATTCGACTAAGATTTCCCACGAATGTAGTTCTCAAGAATTTTTATCATTACTAAAATTACTTTATTACTTTCTTGAAAGCAAAAAAACTTTTCCATTAAAACATTACAAAAAAAAAGGGTATTAGAACTTGGTTATTTATTAAAATAAAAGATATACTACGCCCTTGCGCAAATAGCTGTTAATGATGCAAGAATTACGAAACATATTATTACTGTATTATACTATCTTTTATTTAAACAAAAATAGAAAGGATCATTTGACATTATCGAGGGTCCTTATAAAATATATAATAATTGATAAAAACCGTTTTTTTAACATTTGCTTTAATTTACATTAAGGCCAGCCAAGCAAAAAGTGTGTTTAACATAATCCCCCCTTTTTGTTTTCAAAATGGTTCTTGAACAACACTTATTTGCAATTTTGATTGGACGAAATTGGTAAAAATCATGTGACTGTTCAAGATTTGTTATGACGTTCAAGTTTTAGCCAATCAATTAGGCCCTTCCATCCAGATTTCAATTATCCCTAGCATTACCACAAAAAAAGCACTGGTCATGTAATAATGAAAAAAATTGTCACTCCCTGCCATGTTTTCATTGTTTATATTTATTTGAGGAACTTGGTTTTTTTCAACTTAGTAAAATCTTATTCTTCATATATTAATTGTCATCATACTAATCACATGATACTGCATAACTCTGCATAATGTGAGCCACCAGTGCTTTTTTTTGTGAAATTGCTAGAGTAGTTCAGATTTCATGTTAAAACACATTATCTGCTTGGTCTGGTCTAATTATAGTATTTTTTTTTATTTTTTAATTATAATATTGAAAACTACAGAACTTTTTTAAATGCATATTTTTAGATATATATAATAAGGCAAATCTGAAAAAGTAAATAGTATAATATAATAAATAATATACCTTTTATTTGGATTTGCAAAGACTTATTAATAATATATTAATATTATTCTTAATATTTAAAGACTTAATTTTAAATATTATTAATATTTGTATAATAAGTATTAAATCCAATTTAATTTTTACTTTTTTTTTTATATTAAAAATTTATATTATTAAAATAATTTTACCTTATATTTAAAATAAATCCTTAAAATAAATTTTAATTCTAAACTTTTTATTTATATATTACTATATATTGTAAGTTACTATATACTTTAACTAGTAAAATCTTAAAAAAAAAATTTTTGTACTGAACCTTTTATTTTGCTATAGACGTTCTCATATATAGAAAATTTATCATTATTTTTTCTATATAAATAAAATACTCTGATAATCAATTATTTTTTTATATATTTATCTATAATTTTTTTATATA